ATTGAGAAAGGATATGGAAGATGGTGGACCGCAGTGGGAGGAGATAAGGATAAAATTCCACCTCTTTGGGACCTGAGAGCAATTCTGGTGATACCAAAGGAGCAAGGCAGTGAGGAACCAGCCTCGGAATGGGACATGCCCGCTCCAAAAGTCACCTTTCCAAGACCCTGTAACGGGCGAAAACAGGAATTTGTGAACTGGACCAAGTTGGTATCCCAGGGCTGTGGAATTTCCAGTTTTGAGAAGGATAAAATGAGTAACAACTGGCTAGAGTTTGAGATAGGCATTCCCCACAGAAAGATCATCACGGCGTTACAGCTGAGAGCCGATGTCTACAAGAGACCTTTTAGCAAGGGGCATGACAAGTCCTGCATGTCTGCTAGCTGCAAACACGTAGAAACTTTGCTATCCTGCTCAATGGATCACTAGCACCTCTGCTACACATCTACTGTCTGGAATAATCAGCAGACAAATTATGGACAAATTATTAATTACGGACAAACGTGGTATTTTTGGTGCGTCACAAAGGCACGCTATCTTCTTACAACTCCTGAGCTCAATCCTTGCTTCTTAATCCTACAAAACATCCCTCCAGAGTTCAAAAAGCATTGGACTCCAAGGGTACCTTGCAGGAAAAGACGACAGACAGCCCTTACCCCGAGCGCTACGTACGATACAGCCCTTTGCGCAAGAACGTCCGGTGGTCGCAGAAGGTTGGAACTGAAGTAGAATGATTTCTTGGGATCGGTTACTCCTTTCTAAAGCAAAGTTCGTCCCATTAAAAAAGTTGACTGGATTTAATAAATATTTTGAAATTATAAATAAGTTAAAAATTAATTTTTAAATTAAGCTAGTATTTGAATAAATACATTTCAGTAAGCGCTTAAATACATACATGCCTTTTTTTTGTTTTCTCTTCAAGTTAGCTCATGCTTTAAAGAAGCAAGTTCTATAATACTGCCATAAAATTTTGTGCCTTCAGGAAATAAAATATTGCTTTTCTTAGCCCTTTATAATTTGATTCAGTTCCCATCCACTTCGATGAGATGGGTCAGATCTACTCATTATTGCTTGTAAACCTGAGGAAAAAGGAGAAATAGTCTATTTCTAAGGAAGATGCTGCTTACCAGAGGGCAGGTTCTCTGCCCGCACTTTCTAGAAAACAGTTTTGACTTTTGTGTCTCAGTGGGTTAAAAAAATCCAACACATTTCCTAATAGCATCCTGTCAGATCAGAAGAGGTTATAGGTTTGACCTGGAACTGATTTCTGAAACATCTTATCTGTATCAAGGTTATTTACAGTTTGCTTCGAGTCCCTGCACCTGAAATGCCCACTTTGCTTTCTGACAGGTAATCGGTACCCTGGGCACCCAGGAAACTAGATGACTTCTGCTACACATGAATAATCTAGCCCTACAGATCAAACAGATAAGGCAACATCAGTCTCCTCCACCACGCGTCGGAAAAGGACTGATTGGAAAGAGCCCTTTAGAGTTGAGTAATACACAGATTCATGCAAACTGACATTCATCCAAAACCACAATTCATGGAAAAGACTACTGAGAAGGAGGCATCTGATACAAAATTTCTAAATCTGCTATTTGAGTTCTAAGTTTTTAAGTTTAAAATAGTTCCCAGAAGCCTCTCTGTGTCCAAGTGGCTGCTACCTGTGGTCACACGAACGACTGCCTCCAGGCTCAGCCCCTGTAGGCTCTTTGGTTTGGTGCAGAGAGCAGCTCTGGGCCAGCCAGGAGGCCCCAAGTGGTTTTTCCTTGCCTGCGTAGCCTTGGACCTGCTATCTAGAAAGATGGGAGCTCGTCTGGGACTGGCTGGAAGATGTCGTGGCTCCACTCAGCTGGGAAAAGCCGCTGTTGCAAGATTCCAGGCTTGACATGGATCCCCTGGGATGGGACGAAACAGATGCATTTGTTAGGAAGGCAGCTATTACTGGATAACTCTACCTGACAGGGGATCAACTTACACTCTGTAACGCTTGCAAAAGTATTTTATTTTTTGTGCCATCATTTTTAACTGTGTCTCTAAGAATCTCAGGGTTCCTTTGTGTCATGTTGAAAAATTAATTTGTCACAGACATCTTTTTTCTTAGCTCCAGATATGATACCTTGTTTCTTGCAGCTATTCTGGGAGTGGGACACAGTCGGGGCCTCTGTGGGGCTGCATTTGCAGCCCGAGCAGAGAGGAAAATGAAAGAGCACTGCAGACGCAGCATAGCTCAGGGCATGTGGCTGCCACTGCTGTCCCGAGCGCTCCAGCCTGCTAAGCACGGGAGTCCCAGCTTCAGCGTGTCCATGGTCTTCAGCTCCTTCTGCCAAGGCAAACTGGGTTCACTGCCACTGTGACTGCCTACTGACACATTTTATGCAGGTAGAGAAACAAGGAACTGGTTTGAATGATCAGAATGAGGAATCTGCTGCTGCTCTGTCTCTACGGGATCTGGCCAGGTCACATTCTCAAGGTCACCACTTGCCCATCTGCAAGTCTGGTCTAGCTAACGCTTCCTCCAAGTCCTAGTGAAAGATCAAGTACTTGCAAAGAATTTAAGTGACTGGCTGATTTGAAAAGTGCTTTTTGCTTTAAAGGAGGCTAGACAAATCCCACCGAGGCTGATGGATTCACGTATTCCCAAAGCACTCTCCGAATCACAACTGACATCCTTATCAAGTGCCACACGAAATATGTCTGAAATTGCCCAGCTGATATTTGTTAAGTGACTCCAAAAGTAACTTCTCAAAACGTTCCTAAGACCAAAAAACTCCTCAGTCAAAAACCTCCCCCTCTTCAGGTAGCTGTAAGCAAGAACTGAAGCACAAATTCCACTGGTGGACATAACAGCCAAGGGCTCCCTTATTACCTACAGCACTCAAGGAGATTCTTTGCACAAAATGTCACCAAGATTGTGCCCGTCTTACTTATTATCAATGAAAAACCCACTCGGTGGAGGTCATTGGTATCTGGATGTTTAACACGCATGCAGTCCTCATTTGGCGTCTCTATTGCAAGTCATATAGTAACCCCTCTCCCCCCATAAACCTCCTACCTGAAGTCCTTGGATGCAAGCACCTCGTAGTAGTATATAAGCTTGCACTTGTGACTGGAAACTTGCAGAGAGGCAAGAACATCATCCACCCGAGGGAGGCTAGTGCCGGAACAGGGCAGAGGGCCATGCATTTTCCACTGGAGAATGTAAAAGCCGGGCCAGCGAGTCACATGAGATCCCTGGAAGAGAAAGAGAGCGCCATCCAGTCATGAAGAAATAGATGAATGACTTGGCAAAGTCCAAAGAACCTGTTGAGGTGACTACCTTGGGCAGCATACATCATTCACTTCTTTTACATGCCTGAGCCACATGCCCCTGTAATGCTATTAAAAACCATAAACAGTTATTTTCAATTTGTTTATCATCATGGATTATGGAACCTCTTTCCAATGGCTCAGTCTAAATTAGGACTGCAATAGCAGCCACTTTCACAGGGAATACAGAAAGTGACGACAAGAGCAACTATTTCCAAGCAATACATGATTCCCCATGCCATCAATTCCTTCCCCTCCCCACCACCAGACCATTCTGGTGTTTTCTAGGACTGCAAGATCCATGCCAGGACCCAAACACATCTGACCTGGATGCTCTCTCCTTCCCGGCAAACCAGCGGAGACTCCATACGGCTGTAATCTACCCCAAGGACCCACGACTTATCAATTAGCTGCATGTTGTCCCCAGCAGCAGAGGTACTTGGTAACGTGGCTTCTTTATGACTTGTTTCAGGAGCTCGTTTGGAGTGAAAGAGGCTGAACACCACATCTCCCTTCAGGATGTCAAAGTCCCAGGTAATGACAGATTCTCCTTCCAAAATCTCCACAACTATCTAAGAAGGGAACAGAACAAGCACGTTGTAGAGAGTCAGGTCTGCAGATGGCAGCCAGCATCTTCCTCCCCACTCTGCAAAAACACTTTTCTCTATAATCCTTCAGTTAAGCTATCGGTCTGGATTCCTAAGGAGGACACAGACTGATTTCCATTGCCACTCTTCTGCCCCAGTAGATCTGCTCAGGCATTTTCTCCCCATCTCTCCCCTGTATCAGAGTTGCTTGTAAATAATTTGATAGTTCTAGGACAGCCTCAGTGGAACTGAAGCAAAGCATTCAGGACTTCCGAGTGGCTGTGAGCTGCAATGCTGCTTTTTCAGGAGCAGGCCAAACCAGAGTTACTAATCATCAGGGAAGCTGGCAGACTGTTTTGACATTCAAATGCTCCTTTTTTGGACATTCTCTTTCCTGATGACCCCGTCGGGGTGTTCCCAGTACATACCTTCTTATAGCACCACCATTACTGTCCTAGCTAGGCCACTGAAAATGGAAGCTGTACTGTCAGAAGGGAAACGGAGGGAGCTTTATTTCCCCAAGAAGGAGGTCCAGATCAGCCCACAGCAGAGAGAAGAGACACGGTTTCTCAAAATGCAGTTCTTTATTTCCATGCTTCTAGCTAGCGTTAGCCTTCCCAAGAAAGGCACGCTCCTGCTGAGCCATCTCGGGCTCACGCTTTGGGAGCCCTTTGTTGTTCTAGTCAGCCTTAACAAAAAGAACACATCACCGATACCAGTTCAAGCGCCTCCTTCAGCCTTACAAAGTTCTGGTTTGTACCTCATGTGGAGCTCCTTTGAGGACACTCGCGGAATGATAGATAGTTTCTGTCCATAACCGGATGTGATCCGAGTTCTCTGGCTCTTCTTCTGTTTGATAAAGTGACTTGGGAACAAGTCCACCTTCTGGAACAGTACACTGGAAGAGTCAAACAAATACAAGGGTTCATACTCATCTACTGGTGAAGCATCAAGTCATCCGTACCATAAACGCTTGCCTGCTGTCAGACACAGAGGACGACACCCTCAGCTGGCATAAGATTTCACAGTGGGACTAAGTTTACTTGAACTATGACAATTTATCTAAGCTCCATTTCAAGAGCTGACCTTCTCCAAGGCAGCATCGCAACTTCAGGGTGAATTCTCCTGTGCATAAATTAACTGCACTGTGCTCAGAGCAGTGGCATCCCAGCCAGAACAGAGGTTTAACCGTCTTTCAGAAGGAAGTGGAAGGCCAGGGTGTTGAGGAGGAGGGAATCGAGAAGCTTGCACATTGCAGATTCCACCCGCACAACGGGAAGGAGAACTCACCATGCAGTCTCCTCCCAGGAAGTCTGGGATCACATCTTTGTCCACGTAGTCTACCAGCCCTCCTGGACCCTGGTAGTTATTCCCACTGTAAATGAGGAACTTCTGCCTTGTGTTCTCGTTGATGAACGGACTGACCTGAAATAAAAAGCGGACAGAAGACATCACTGTCTCTAACTTCCCTCAGCGACAATGTTTATACATCGCTTTAGGCTCTGGGCTGGAAGGTCACAGCAGCAGGAACGCAGACCAGCAGTAGTGCAGAGCTGCGCAGCTCTAAAGCACTTCCCCAAAAAAAGGGGCAACAAATGGAATGAGTACTCTGTCGTCATCTCACAACATTTTCTACTTTGCATGAAGTAAGTTTGCAGTCACCGCACCACATATAAACCTCACAGGAAATTCACAAGTTCTTACACTGCTGGCAGGTCAGCAGGCACCAGGCAGAACCATATTTATTGCTCTCCTCTTCAGTGTCCTCCAGCATGAGATTAAAAAAATATTTGTCTTTTCCCATCAACATGAAAACCCACCAAGTTTGGGCTACCACTGCTGCATGAGGATTTGAGTCTAGGTCCAACATCCTGTCCTGCCTTGGTGGATAACAGCCGCTAGAATCAAATGAGCTACAGGAATTTTATGGCTTGCTCTGTAGCAACGCTATGGCCTCTTCAGTTCAGCCACGAGTTACCTGGAAGTTTCTCCCTCCCTAACTCTTCAAATAAGCAGAACTTACACTGACTGGATGATTTAGCTATTTGTACATGCACAAGTACTTATGATCCCACAGCCCAGATTTCACCCACCAGAGTCCAGAGCACAGGAAACACCCTGGGTGCTCGCACTATCAACAGTCTCCCCAGAGTTTCAGGGTAGTTGTCCTCTACAACCTCAATTATCCGAAGCAAGGCCTTAACTCCAGGCCGCCAGAGGTGCCGCATATTTAGCCCTTCCAAGTCCACCAGACATGTCCAGGATCTAAAATAAACACGCAGAAAAAGACCCATCAGAACTTCATTGCACAGCGGCTGCTCAATTTATGATCCACATAATATCTCCAGAACACCATAGGCTGTACAGGATCTAGTGAAGCCAACAAGGGAGATCAGCAGTATAAAATTAAAAGTAGATCTCCACTCAGGCAGCAGACAGCCTGAATCCAGTTGAGTTTTCAGGTAAACCAGACTGAAGGCAAGAACATATGGTGTCAGTGTGGAAGAGGGTGAAGGAATGCAGGCCTATTCCTAAAAATAATTCAAAAATGCATTTTAAATGAAAGTGAAATCTGGCAGACAGTTTCCTGTACATAAAAAAAAAAGATAATTTCAAGAATCTGGATTAAATCACCAAGATAGCAAGATTACATTTATCTGAAATGGGACACAAAAAGATATAAGGAAGGATGAATACTTGCTTGCATATGAAGCTGTAGAATTTATCTGCATTTAACTCCACTGTATAGGGTACCCCAAGCCCAGGAACAGCCCCTAACAGAGACACACTGTTGTCCGCAGTTTAACCCTAAGGATATCGTCTAAAACCTTCACAGAAGCATTCTTCTCACCATGACTGTTCAAACTCTGTAAGGATATAAGAAAAACTATACTAACGTGATGGGGCGGCCAAAGATGTTGGTATTTTCCTCACATCTCTTTTGTCCTTCCTCGTTAATTGACAGGACCTGAAATGAAAGACAGTGCAGACTAGGATTAGCCTGAGTATGGCTGAGAAGCCAGGATAGCCCAGAGATATTATTTCAAAAAATACAGAACCCAGAAGTATCCTAGTTTGAGAATTGGCAGCGTGCAAAACAGAACAAAAGTCTACAGGTCAAAAAAAAAAAAAAAAAAAAAAGGCTTCTCTATTGAAAAGTTGTGCTGACCATACAAGCTACAGCTACTGAAAATCTAAGATGGAATAGAAGAGCCTCAAGATCAAATGCTGTTAGCTGAGCTGCATGAAAGGGACACGGAAAGCTTACAGCTAAACCGCAAATTATCAGAAAACACCGTTTTGGCCCATTCATGCCATTACCAAAGCTTCACTTCTGTCTCTGCAGGAAGACAGAGAATCTGTGCCGTGCCACAGTCACTAAGCCAACTTTGAGTCGCCAGCCATGAAACACAGGAATTACGTGTGTCAGGCGGGGAGATTCCTG